ACCATCCATCAACCACAGACAACCTCCTCTCAGCCATCAACTTATTCCTCCTTTGCATCCGCAAACCCTTCCTCCTGTACCTTCTCACCTTCTGGCTACTCGCTCTCACCTACCTCCTCTACTCACTACTCTTCCCACTCGACGTTCTACACCTACGGTCACATCTACGCACTGCCGTGCTTACACCACTAGTACTACTTACCAACTACACACAACCACATGACATCACATACTTCAAACAGTAATCTACTACTCACTCCACTCCACATCACCTACTCACTCCACTACTACCATCCATCAACCACAGATAACCTCCTCTCAGTCATCAACCACTTCCTCCTTTGCATCCGCAAACCCGTCCTCCTGTACCTCTTCACCTTCTGGATACTCGCCATCACCTATCATACATACTCACTAACAATACCACTCGACGTTCTACACATACGTTCACACCTACGCACTTCCGTGCTATCACCTCTTGTACTACTCACCAACTACACACAACATGACATCACATACTTCAAACCGTAATCTAATACTCACTCCACTACCCACTATTCCACCTCACCTTCTGGATACTCGCCATCATCTACCTAACATACTCACTAACAATCCCACTCGACGTTCTACACCTACGTTCACACCTACGCACTGCCGTGCTATCACCACTGGTACTACTCACCCACTACACACAACCACATGACATCACATACTTCCAACCGTAATGTGATACTCAATCTACTCTCCACCTCACCTACTCACTCCACTACTACCATCCATCAACCACAGACAACCTCCTCTCAGTCATCAACGCACTCCTCCTTTGCATCCGCAATCCCTTCCTTTTCTACCTACTCACCTTCTGGATACTCGCCATCATTTACCTAACATACTCACTAACAATACCACTCGACGTTCTACACCTACGGTCACACCTATGTACTGCCGTGCTATCACCACTGGTACTACTCACCAACTACACACAACCACATGACATCACATACTTCAAACCGTAATCTACTACTCACTCAATTCCACTACTCACCTACTCACTCCACTACTACCATCCATCAACCACAGACAACCTCCTCTCAGTCATCAACAACTTCCTCTATCACATCCGCCAACCCTTCTTCCTTTACCTCCTCACCTTCTGGATACTCGTCCTCATCTACCTCCTATACGCACTACTCTTCCCACTGGACCTCCTTCACATGCTCTCGCATTGGCGTCTCGACCACAATCATCACCTACTACCACTGCATCTACTCGCCCACAATCTACCCGCACCTACTACATTGTACTTCCAACCGTAATCTACTACTCACTCTATTCCACTACTCACCTACTCACTCCACTACTACCATCCATCATATAACTACAAACTTCTCTCAGCAATCAACCACTTCGTCACCTTCTGGCTCATCGTCATCATCTACCTCCTCTACACACTACTCGTCCCCCTGGACATTCTCCACATGCTCTCGCACTGGCGCCTCGCTTACACCCATCACCACCTACTACCACTGCATCTACTCGCCGACAAGATACCCGCACCTACTACATTGTACTTCCAATCGTAATCGAATACTCACTCTATTCGACACCTCACCTACTCACTCCACTACTACCATCCATCACATAACTACAACCTCTTCTCAGTCATCAACCTCTTCCTCACCCTCTGGCTACTCGTCATCACCTACCTAACATACTCACTAACAATACCACTCGACGTTCTACACCTACGTTCACACCTACGCACTGCCGTGCTTACACCACTAGTACTACTCACCAACTACACACAACCACATGACATCACCCACTCACTCCACTACTACCATGCAACATATAACTACCACCTCCTCTCAGCCATCAACCACTTCCTCACCTGCTGGCTACTCGTCATCACCTACCTAACATACTCTCTCACAACACCACTCGACGTTCTACACCTACAATCACACCTACACAATGCCGTGCTCACACCACTAGTACTACTTACCAACTACACACAACCACATGATATCACCTACTCACTCCACTACTACCATCCATCATATAACTACAACCTCCTCTCAGCAATCAACCTTTTCGTCACCTTCTGGCTACTCGCCATCATCTACCTCCTCTACGCACTACTCGTCCCCCTGGACATTCTCCACATGCTCTCGCACTGGCGCCTCGCCTACACGCATCACCTACTACCACTGCATCTACTCGCCGACAAGATACCCGCACCGACTACATTGTACTTTACACCGTAATCTAATACTCACTCTATTCGACACATCATCTACTCACTCCACTACCCACTATTCCACCTCACCTTCTGGCTACTCGCCATCACCTACCTAACATACTCTCTGACAATACCACTGGACGTTCTACACCTACGCACTGCCGTGCTATCACCACTAGTACTACTCAGCAACTACACACAACCACATGACATCAACTACTAACTCCACTACCACCATCCATCATATAAATACAATCTCCTCAAAGCAATCAACCTCTTCGTCACCTTCTGGCTACTCGTCATCACCTACCTCCTCTACGTACTACTCATCCCCCTGGACCTCCTTCACATCCTCTCGCATTGGCGCCTCGCTTACACGCATCACCTACTACCACTGCATCTACTCGCCCACAACATCCCCGCACCTACTACATTGTACTTTACAACGTAATCTAATACTCACTCTATTCGACA